AATGTGGTGTGCGCCACGGGCCCGTTCGTTGTGTGGCTCGGGTCGACAACTCAAACGTACAAGCCGAGTGGTCCGAGCGCGTGTCAGCGTGTACGTGTGTTGACTGGGTCGGGGCGCTAACGTACAGAGTCTCCGAGACAAAGATGTAGTCTAACCTGTTTCTGTGGCACGGGCTAGTGTACGAGATCGTGTTGGGGTTGTCCTGGCGGTACGCGTCCACCAGACGGAGTTCGCTGAGCCAGCGCAAGAGCTGTTCGACCCCCTGGAGGTTCTCCGGTCGCGGCTCGAACGAGTCGAGGGCGCCGGACAGAGTGACGTTGAAGTCGCCGCCTACAATGTGCTCTGCGTCGGGTTCAAAGCGCTTGGGGAGCGCCGCGAAGAAGGCTTCGCGCTTGTCCAGCTGCTAGTTTGTTGATCAAAATAAAATTGTGGAAGTCACCAATGTTCGCAACATGGGCTTGATGCAGATGCGGTGCCATCATGTAGGTGTGCACAGCTTGCCGTACGACTCAGTTTGGATCGATGCTGCGGTTTGCAGGGTCTATCGCTTTGAATTGCTACTAGTGGAGTGCGCGTGATGCGGCCTTTACACCAGCGTGCCACGTCATTCATGTCCGAAAATCCACCAATCACACACGTGCATGATGTGCAGTCACCGATCATCGGGTTCGTACACATTGCTTGGTGGCGACCATGCCGACTCCATCAATGGCTTGAATTACGACGCGAGGAGATGGTCGAGACACGGTGGATCTTGACGCGCTTCGGGACGAGGCGGTGGGGTCCAGAAGCGGAAAGGAGGAATTGGTGACCAATAAGGAGGACTAAGAGACCGACGGGGTAGCGCACGGCCCTTTCGTACATAACGCGTCGCAGCCTCGTATGGGTGTTTACATACTTCGTACTACGATTGTGAGCGAGTTTCGCATTATCTTCGCTGTTATTATAGAGACACCGCATACTGCGTAGAGACCATGTGTAGAGGCGAGCAATCTCCTTTTCTTCAGTCGCGCGTCGGGGTGTTTGCTTGACGTGATCGTCAACGCCTTTTGTTTCACAATACGAGTAGCTGGACGTGCACGAGGATACTAACCAGTTTTCGGTGTGACATCACTGGCAGTCGACCTGGTAAACTTTTGGTGCGACGTGGTGTGGGGCACGATGCAGCACGCTTACCCCGGGTCGTCCAGGAACCATCGTTCTGGTTTTAGTCAAAGCACTCACCAGATGACAGCTGCGTGTGGCAGTTCCGCAGCAGAACATACTACTATCTTGTGAGCCCAGGCAACTCTATCTCTCATCCTAGAAGCACCACATTTTGCAACAAAGACGTCATTGCCATTCACATTTTCAGAAAATCATGTCTGCTTCGTCGCTACTTTGGGGATATTCCTTCTCTCCTCCCAGTTGCACCCTGCAATGGTTGGTGCACTCGGAAAGCAGCGCCACCCAGCAGGATGTCTCCGTGTATCCGATGCGTCTTGACGTTTGGAAGTCGCGTGTTGAGGATCCACACATATCAACCCGCGTCGTGCGTCGCCGACAGCAGATGCATCTATGGAGAGGCCACGAAAGTCTGCATTCGGAAGACGACGACGAGAGTGTCTCCATCTGCGACCACGCGAATGACGCAGCGTCGGTTGTAGCCGCCAACTTTCTTCCTGGACCAACCTCTGCAAAGTGCAGGTGCCGTCCAGAAACCGGTCACGCTGTGATCGGAATTCGCTTAAAAAGTATGTTCCTGCAACTTCAAGCTGCGAGAAAACCACGGGTGACGCTGTGGTCGTCGTGTTGACAGAAAAAAGGATGATTCCATATAATGGCGTCCTCCGTGTCAGCCCCGCATAGCGAGACTGTGGTTCCCGAGGACCAGATGCGCGTGCATCGCGTGCTCTGGTGCGTGCGTCGGTTTCCGAGTGTGCACCCGCCATGTCGCTCTGCCACGCGTCTTTGCTTCCTCGGATTTCTGAGAATCGGCCGCTTGGGCCGGCAAGTTCCACTTACTACTGTAGGTTGTTGACATCACATTGCCGATAGCATCGATTGTTCGACCCCGGTTCGTACCCGTTCGACACGACGATGTCCACCGACGCTCTGCGGCAAGTATTTATGTGTCGGTACTACGTTGGGGAATTTACAGGATTGCAGCTGTCTCTGCCACCGCGTGGTTCCGTGCTGTCGCACTCGCGTCGTCGTCGTGGTATAAGCGGACGCCACCTGGGACACGCTCGCGGCCTCCTCAGAAGAGAGAAGCCATTCTTTCATTTCCGGCACGCCAACCACTTTCCCGATTTCTACCCGCATGCAGGCCTTTTCCCACGCTGATCTTCATTTTGCCCGGCACATGCAAGCCAAGCGGCAGGCCGATGAGCAGCGCAAGGCCGCCGAGCCCAAGGCATCAGCGCCCGCCAAGTCGGAGCCGAAAAACTGGCGCCAAAAATACCTTCGCAAGCTCAACTTGTCCAAGACCGACGACGACAAGACGCTGCGGCGCGCTCAGTCGTGCAGTGCACCGATCGCGATCCCGTCGGACCTCGAACGCAAGAGCTCGGGTTTGTGGTGGGAAGACGACCGCCGCAGCTCGCCGATTGTCTTCAATCGCGACGACGAGAACGCTCAAGTTGTCGACGAGTGGGACCTCGGGCTCGACGATGAAAAGCCGTACCGCGCCTCGACAGGCAGTGCGATGCCGCCCTTTGTACCGCCGCACGAGCTTGTAAAGAAAGAGAGCAAGCACACGCCGGGCAACTTTCGCAAAAACGTTGTCGTGTGGATGTAGCATGCTGTGGGAACCACTCGTATTTAACCTTTCTCCCTATCAACATGACCTCTGTATTATGCTTTTCACGTTGACAGCCTTTGATGTTGCTGATCCATCCTCACTGTCGGCGCCACTTGAAATCTGAATGACGATAAGAACCGGGCCGTCATCCCTAACACGATGACACCACGCGTATCAGCGACGTACTATAGGTGGCGAAAAGGACCGATATACGATGCCTCGAGCCACTCTCATCATTGATCTGCGTTGTGGTAGGAATTTTGCCGACAGCGACGACACAGTACCATGTACCGGTATGTAAACGAGACAAAGGGATGGTACATGTACGTCGTTTGCGCTGTCTTCTATACACGTCGGAGCCAAGCGTCGTCGATGGCACCGCTCGATCAGCCGTGTGCTCCTTCTGGTACTAGTCTTGGCCCCTTGCACCTTTGGAACCACAAGGCCGTCCACCGTGCGCTGCTGCACAGCATCATTCATCGCTTGTCACGGTTTCAGACTCGCCTCTGATTGGTGGATCGCATGCCACGGAGGTTTGTAAGGCTGCCACGTACACTGACCATCGTGGTCAATGGAGCCTCTGGAGTCGAGGGCAAATTAACGGGTCGTATTGGCCGCGAGGCAGCGGCGATGGAATAGGAATGGCAATATAGTGCTCATTAATGCTGCAAGACTGAACATCAGATTCTCAAGGAGACGCTACTTTCGTTGACAACGGACGGTCCAGCCATTCAAAATATAGAGTGGTGTCAACGTCGCTGGCACGGTTGCGCTCGAAGCATCAAGACATCGTCAAAGGCACTTTGTGCATCACTATAGGCCGCGCTACCGTCGAAAAAACGCGATGGGGCGTGCGGGGCGGGGTATACGACCGCGCGCGACTGGAGATAAATCATGTCGCCCTCGTCGCTGCGCGCCGGACTCTGACGTGCGTTGGCGTAGTAGGGCCCCCCGTCGGGCCGGTACGAACCAGAAGACGCAATCGACGACGGATTGCTGCTTTCAAATTGCGTGGCGGTGACCACGCGGGGAGGTTCGTAACCAGGACTGGCATGGTACACAGAGCACGGGCACGGCGACATGTGCACGGACGGCTCCCGGTGCGCATCCGTTGCGGGAGACGCAGTCTGTTGTCGGCATCGGCGCACGAGAAGGCAACCGACGGCGAGGACGAGGACGACGATGGCTGCGGCGAGGCCCACGACGGCTTCGGTTGACAAGATGACGTCGTCGGGGTGTGGCACCGGTGTTGGTGCGGCTGTCAACAGTCGCGTCGTCGGTGTTGGCACTGGGGAACATTGTGTTCCTCGTTCGCAGACACCATTTGTGGTCGTGTTGGCGCAGACAACAATGTCCGAGCCCGGGAGCGCGTAGAGGCAAGAGGGGCAGATCTCGGTATCGCGGTCGCAGAGAACGGTGTCTTCAATGATACAGCGGGCGGCAATGCACACGGAAGCGAGCGTGTCATTGGTGTTGTCAGGGACCATTAGACAAATGAGTCTTAGTGATGAGCATGGGATCGTCGTTAGCGTGCGTACCGTGTTGATCCATGTTCCACGTCGGCTCGAGCAGATCAATGCCAGAGTAAACCTTCTCTTGGAGCGAAACGCGAGGTTGGATGTGATCTTTTACTGGGTGCAATTGTTATCTTGTAGTCATCGCAGTCGAGCTAATAGCTGCCGGTTCCGGGTGCCGGGTTGTCGTGACTAATGTACAGAGCCGAGAGATGTGTTTGATTCGATGGGCTAATGTGGCAACGCCATTCACCTAGGTTAATGAACAGTGACGCAGGCGGAATCGTTCGATGGGCCAGCAAAGACGTTGCAACAGCATGCTGAAGACGAAACAAGACGCAGCGTTTTTATGACGACGCCCACGGTTTCATCGTTTACCTCAAGGATACATGGGTTTTATGTTTAACCTGTTTGCGTTTATCGCTGTCGACCCAAATGCTGTGCTGGACTGCGACGGAGGTCGCACGGCAAGCGCCTTGTACACAGCGCGTTAAGAATAGAACGCGCAGATGCGATTGCCTGTCTCGTTGCGATCGTGCGAAGCAGCGTCATGTCGATGGATCTTGCACACGCGACTTTGTAGAAAAGCTGCAGGTCTTGGCTGCCATGTGCGTGCAGGACAGCCATGAGAGGCAAGCACGCACGCAGATGCGGCTAGTACCTTGGAAAGACCACGCTAACAGAGTGCGTTGCACATGCGGGTTGCTACCCGGCGGCCATAAACAGCCTCGGGATCGCCACTTGTTGTCTTTAACTTCGCCTGGACGGCGCTGGCCCTCCGCATCGCCGGCCACTTTGCCGGCGCTGATGGCCTTGGTGACAGTGATCTCGCTGGGCTAAATCATCCATAGAGCTCAGCCATGTACGTGTACGCAACTTGGCCCAAGCTCAGTTATGATTGTTCGGTAGATCTGCTGCATGCTCATTGCGAATCAAGCACTCGAAATCTGGATACTAGTATGCTTTATACGGATGTCGCCGCTCCCACGGCGATTGCTCTCGCTAGAGAGCTCCAACGGTGATGCCACATAACATTCTGTACCCTCCAAAGGGTCTTTCATCAGTACGGCAAGTATCACAAGTATCATTTTCAAACGTGGTTTGGCCAATTTGTTTCGTGGCAGCGCTTGTCCCTTGTACTTGGTTATCTAAATGTGGTTTTGTGGCAAACGCCAAAAATAATGTGGCGGCAATTTGCCTCAACGGCCACGTCGTCTGAATTGCAATACCATCAGCACAACACCAGAGAGCTCCAGTAGAGTACTAGTACACAACTTGTACTCGCCTACTTGGTAGGCGTCCAATCCGAGGCATCGAGTTGCAACAAGCGGCATCAAATGACCCGCGACCTCTTCTATCGTGAGCGCTAGTGAGTCTTGTCCAAACATGGCTTGGAGCGCTGCCATGCGCCACCGCAAACTAATGTTTTTAGAAGAAAGACCGTCCTCTCCGCCCTTTTGTTGATTGTGCTTGTCGCTCTGTATGAGTCGATACGCTCGTAGTCGAGCGAGAACGCTTCGAGAACAGGAGGTCCTTGTCGAGACGCACGGCGGCACACACACGTGCAACTGCAGTCGTCGTGTGGTGCAATTGCACGACTTGGCCTTGTTATCAGCTCACCGGTAGCACTACCCAGATTCGTCTCGTAACTCACAGCACCAGTGCCACGCGCGTCGTCCTTCGCACCGACGACTCCACGAGCTGACTCCGAGTGGCACACCGAATGCAGCAGCATGTGATGAGTCTACTACACCCGTCGGCCAAGGTTGACCTTTGCGTTGGCCAACCACCAGCAATGGAGCTCAGCAATGGTTGGGTGGAGATACTGCCGTTGCCGCACCGACCGACGTCCACAACCAAAGACTACAATTTGACAGTCGGTCGTTTGATCGGTCGCTCGATCGTTGGCGCCAGAACATGTGTTATAACATGGCACTGACGTCGTGTTCCGGCATCGTATTCGCTGAAGCACTGGGGTTCTTGGCTTGCAAAAGGACAGTGAAAATCTACAATACCTTTCAGTGTTCATGTGGTTGCTCTAATTTATTTGTCGATTGTTGACGAGAGGCTCATTCAAATGGGATGACTGTGCCTGCGTCGGCGATTCTATTTATAACACGAGTTATAACGGTTGTCACGCCGCCAGATATGGAGACAGGCGCCACCGAACGACGAAGCTACGCCCTGGCTTTGTCAAGGACACGGGCGTTGCACCGCTGCGTCATGGGCTGGTCGGGCGCTGCTGCCATTTCGCAGAGTCACCTCTGACACCGCAAACATGCGTCCTGCCGCATGTATGAAGCTCGCCTTGGCGGCGTGCGCCGTCGCCGCGGCGTCCGTGCGCCACGGTGCCGATACGCGAGTCATCCTCGAGGTGATGCCACCGCGAGGACTCGATGGAAACGCAACGACAGCCCCGCCCACCAACACGACAGCTCCCGTTCCAATCATTACGACGCCGGTCTCAACACCGACGCCAACGCCCGGGCCTACGCCGACGACAGGACCTACGCCGACGACTGGACCGACGCCAGCGCCAACACCGGATCCCAAGCCGACTTCAGATCCGACGCCGACGACTGGACCGACGCCAGCGCCAACACCCGATCCCAAGCCGACTCCCGATCCGACGCCGACGACTGGACCGACGCCAGCGCCAACACCCGATCCCAAGCCGACTCCAGATCCGACGCCGACGACTGGACCGACGCCAGCGCCAAC